CCTCTCTGCTATATTATCCCGTGCATCCCTGCCAATCTGTTGTAAACATATCTCCCCTCACCCCCAACTCATTTGCTTTCTGCAAAGGCATTAAAATACCTGCAGCAGAGAGATTTCTGTTGTAATACGGGTTTACTCTGACACCACGCATCCCTTACCGATCATCGGAGACTCTATAAAACTCCATGAGTTAGTCTGAGGGATGTAGGACTGCAAGACACCTGCAGCTCGGCCGGCTTCGTTCACCCCACCAAAGACGTAGATCTTCCCACCGCAAACGGTCGCAGCGGCCGAGTGGACGGCCTTTGGCAGAGGAGCAATGGTCTCCCACTGGTTGGTTATCGTGTCATACCTAGGACGACAGCAACCAGAGTGAGCTGAGATGACACCGTGCTGGGTGAACAGTAAAGACAGGAGAGACAGGCAGAGAAAGCACACTGGGATATAACAGAGAGGCAGCTTGAGAAGCAGAAGAAAAACAGAGGTGGAAATGTGTTTTCTAAGATCCTACAAATTCATCCACTTGGTAAACAGCATAATTAATGCTTTTTCTAAGCTTTTAAAACATTGAGAAAAGCCCAGAGAAAGCTGTTTCTATTTTCTGTATATGCCTCTCAAATCTCACAGTCCAAGCTAAAGAAACTCTGGACATCTTTGTTAAGATGTCTTCCACTAATTAATTTCTATTAATGAGTATACAATGAGATTATTCTTGCAAATCAGTGCAATGATATCCAATAGCAACCGCAGGCAGGCAACTGTTCCTATACTTCAGTTGTTCAGTTTGTGGAACACATCTCACCTGCAAGATAATGCAACATGATAGCTCTTTTTACTCTAGTTAGCTGACCAGCGACGCACATTTTGTGCCAGAACAATTTGCTTCCATTTAATTTTCATTGTGCAAACCAAACTACTGTGCTTCATTGCAAGAAGCTGGAATAAGATTTCACCATCACATCCATATTTGACGTGAAGCAAACAGAAAAGAGTATGCATGAAAGTGCTAAATTAGTTTTAAGGTCATCAGTATCTGATTTAATTAAGCCATTGACCATAAAGGATGTGCAGTTAATAATCCATGGATGAAGATTCATTTTAGACAATGTCACAAGTACAGACGTCAATTTTTTTTTAAAGATAATGTGGCAGGGATCCAAATAGCTGCTCTAAAATGAGTCTTGGAGACTGTGGAAAATAATGTGATTTTGTTTTTAGCCTTCTATATTTCCCTGTAATGGCACATTCAGTCAAATAGGAGTTTCCTGCATAGTGATTATTCAGAACTGTTGACTGCAAGAACTGAAGCCCTCATCACCCATTCAGGGCTTTTGCTCTTAATATTAGTGATACGCAATATGCAAACATGAAATGAATCCATGGCCACGAACCCATCTGTAAAAAAAGATTTAGTGACATGAGAATTGTCCCTTTGCAACATGTTCCTCAAATTCTTATTGCCCAAATTTGGGGAAAATAAAAGGGACAAAAGATATAAATGGTGGGAACAGCACAAAATAATGTGTCTAATGAAAATGCATTAATGAGTTTCCAAGTAATATAACTGAAAGTAATTAACACGCTTATAAAAATGAAGCAAAAGCAAGAGGGAGGCAAACTTTAACTAAAAAAGATGAGGAAAGTCCCTTATAATGAGCACGGAGAACTGCCTTGTACAATGCTCTAAATTAGTTACTGAGAAATTAAATTCATCTACAACAAAGTGATCAAAGGAGAGAAATATAACGAGATTAACCAACATGGCGCTGGGAGCATTCAAGGTGACACACCTCCATTGGGACGATTCTTAACGTTTGGTACCAAACTTGAGCTGCAGATGCAGGTGTGGTGGCACCAGCAGCTCCTCCAGTGAGGCACCATGCGCCGCAGCTCCTGCATGTGCCCACAGCACTCAGGGCAGCTCTCACACCCATCCTGCCAGGTATGCAAAAGTGTTGCATAAGATAAAGTTTCATACACTGCTTTTGGGTTGCACTTTGCTAACTGTAGTAATTTGGGGCTTGGTAATTTAACTGTTGATGTCTTATTGTGTAATAAAAGCTGGTTAAGAAATTGGTTATAATTGGCTAGAAACTGCGCAAAGAGATAGAGCGGGGATGAACTGACCTAAAGTGCCTTTCCAGTTCCTCAGCTCAGATATAAATTATCCCTGTCATGCAATACTTATTGTCATGCACCATCCCCTGTGATCTGGCACCAGCAACATTCGGGGCCAGCTGAAGTGGTCTGAGATGGGACGGTGAGCAGCCATGCTGCCTCCCCCGGTGCTGGCAGAAGTACCCACCAACCATAGTTCCCAAGACTGATAGGTTCCCATCTATGGCTTTCTGATCTTTTATATCTTTCACATATCCTGAGCTGGGGTGTGGTTGAAGACCACAACTATAGGAATACTGGAGAATAGTTCAAATTATAAAACCAATTGTCCTTCTGGATGAATTTTACTATTGGGACCTCAGGTCCCCTAGACGCCATTCTTCACCCACTTTCACTGCTCTTCGTTTATGCCCCACAAGAGAACTGATCTTTCTTTCTCCTACCCTCCTTCATCTGCCACCAAGAAACCAGAAATAACCAGTTTCACTTCACCTGCTGAAAGCCAAAGGCTGCAAATCCACTGGATATAGGTGTAAGTTGGGTGGCTTAAAAGAACACTCTTGTCTTGAAGGTCATTTGGTTTAAAAAATCAGTGAACCATAAAGCAGGTGGAAGTCCACCTAACACAGGCATCTAATGTGAGTTTTACATAGGCTGCTCAGTGAAGGAATCCTCTTAAGTGCCTGACTTACCCATGGGGCTGGTGCCTTCAAGGCTTCCTGATACCTGTCCATCAAGTCCCATCATCCCCAGAGGAATTTATTCCTCTAGTTCATTCCCTCCGTGCAAAACTGGAGACCTGATTTCTAGTCTCTGTTTTGCTTCAGCTCCCACCCACTGGAAAGTACGTTGTGGTTTTTTTTTTTTTTTTTTCTATTGGATTATAAAGCTGCTTGCTATCTAATCTCTCATGTATGGACTTGCAGAAAATAATAAAGTCACCTCTTCATTTTCTATGGGATAAACTAAGTAGTCTAAGCTCCTTAAGTCTCTGCAAGGCAGGTTTCCATCATTTTGGTCTATCTTAAGTTGGCTCTTAATGTGTTCACACAAGGATTTGCAACAGATTAACTAAATTGGTTTAGAAATGAATAAAGTTGAGTCTTTGTAACCTTCCAGGACAGGAACTAATGACACCTGCTTTACCTCTCTGCCCTAGGGCCTTTCCATCCGTTGCGTCATCTCCAGCGTTGCCATCACTCCACCGCCACTAGTGCTAGTGAGGCTCCTCGGCTGCCTTTAACACTGGCTCTGTTGAAGGGCCAGCAGGGAGGGAACTGATTTAAAGAATAATCACTTTGATCTCTTTCCATTAGTCAAGCTTTGCATTTGATTCCCCTGTTTGAAGCCATAGATGGAGACTTAATGGGAGCTGGCTTCAAGCCAAGCAAAGGTTTTTCCTCCAGTCCCGGTGTGTCCATGCTTGTCCTTGGCTATGGGCCTACCAAGTCCACTCAATTTACTGAACTTGAAACTTCAAGGACATCTCCTTTCACATAACTGACACCTGGGTTTGCAGTCCTTGCACACTACGGACTCAGGTGTGGTTTTACACGGATGCCCTTGCATGCCTTCCTCTGCTCCCAGAGCGGTCCCTGCAACCCCATGGTCCATGGCCCTGCCGTGCCCCGGACACCAGGCTTTCCACGCGTGCAGAACGTGCCCGTCCCCGCCTGTCACTTCATGTGCACTGACACCGTTGTCTCACCTGACCCCTGTGCGGTCGCTATCCTCTGGTTTATGTATTATTTATATACCCACGATACAGCAAATGATCTGAGCCCGGCAGAAAATACAGCCCAGGCTTGAAGAGAGCACAGGCAGAAATATCCTTGCTAGTTTTCACAACTGTCCACTCTTTGGATTTAATCTGCGGGCCTGATCCTCCTCCTGTTTCATTCATTTCATTCAACGCCTCCTTTCCTGCTCACCCTACCACCTCAGTATTAACAGCAGAAACCCCTTCATTTCAAGCTGTGCCGTTTGCTTCTCTGCCTTCTTGACTTTAGATATCAAAAAAGTATTTTGATATGAAAACAGTATTTTTTTTTTCTCCTCAGTCTCTTAATTTCTCTCCTTCTAGGTAAAACAGCCTTATAAGTATCTTCATTTATTCACATTATAAAATCCTTGCATCACGGTCAGTTGCTTGCAGACATGTACCCTCCAGTTTCTTATACATTATTTAATTCTGTTTGCAGGAAAGCTGCTATTTAAAATAAAGCTGTACAGTGTCATATTGATCTGCTCTTCAGATGATTCACATGTTGTTTAAAATCACATTAATGGATTACTATTTTTTGCCTTTTTTTATTTTCTTCTGACTGTTCTGAGGAGCTTAAGAAACTATCCCTGGACAAGGCTATATATTTAATTTTCTTAAGATGTCAATAAAACAGTAGGTTCTGAAGCAGTTTCTAAAGCTTATAAAGCTTATTCTTAACATTGAATTTTTTAGACTGTCTTCCAAGTACACACTGCCAGCTGAAGTAATCTCCCAATTTTAGACAACCCTATTGTAAAAGTGCTGTCAGGTCAAGGGGATTCATCTTCTTCTGTCCTTCAAACAGATAATAACCACAAAGCACCCACATTTCCACACTCTTAGTCACATACATTGTCTTGTCAGCATATGCCGTCTTCTCAGCCCTCAAATTGCATATATTACAGGGCCCATCCATTATCTAAAAACCTAGTTCGTGGATCCACTTCATTTCGCCGCCTCCCAACTCAACTCATAGCTCAGAAGAAGACAGAAAGTGTAATACCCTCTCGCCTAACACCTAATGACTCGCTCCCTGTCACACAGAAACTTGCCAGAGGGGCTTGATGGAGAACCGCTGTCGTGCCGTTATTTCCCTAAACACTCATTCCAAACCCGTAACTCTCCCTGAACATATACCCACGTACAGCCACCAAAATGGACTTATAACTCAGGCCCTCTGGCACATGCGTATTGTTTTAAGATGAGTAACAGATGACTCCTACGCGTCTGTTTGTGATAGTCCCGTAATAGTATCCATCGAACCAGAATTTTTACTGCTTCTTTACAGACTAATGGCAGATAAAGGGTAAAAAATCTCAGCCCTGTTGAAGTTGATGGGAAAACACCCACTGATTTAAGTGGCATCAGAATCTCTGGTTGAGGCTGCGCCCTTCAGCATCAGTGACACAACTGAGAGCAAGGAGAGAGGAGCATAGGAGCTGATGCCATAAATCATTAGGAGTCTGGTGGTCCCTGCTTGCTTTAATGCTTTCTAATGGCACAGCAGATGTATTAGGTGCACTCAGGTGGTAGCACGTATAGCTAAAATGGTCTGACAGCTGGTTTTAAAAAACAAAATGCAAAACCTCCTTCTTTGTAAGATTTTAACCACATAGGATGAAATATTCCAAGTATTTCAGCAAAAACAGGTGGACAACAAGAAGGAATCTGGGAGAAAATGTTATTTTCTCCATCTTCAAAGACCCTCTGTGGTGACATCCTGCAATCCCCATGCTCTGGGGTTGCTAACTGGTGAGGTCAGGGTAGGTCACTTTGGACCAGAGACCAAACTACGCCAGTGAATACACATTGAAACCTGGCCAAAGCTGGGCATGGTCATGCTTGAGCTAACTCAGCAAGCAGAAAGCAAAATATGGTTGGGAAAGATAAGCTGCATGTGCACGAGGGGAGGTGGTAGGTGACCCAGCAAGGGAGGGTGTCCGGTGCATTGACCTTCACACTGGTGGCACAGCCCAGGACTGCATTGTGCGTCAGGCATGGATGAGGCCCCGTATCTCCATCTGGGTGGGTAACAGGGCTACAATCTCAGATGCGTCCTTTAGGGTGAAAAACACAACCAAAACCCAAGAGCGTGTGACCTTGAAATTCAACACTGAGGGGAATAACATTAGCCTCAGAGGTACATGTAATTTTTGGCATCACCTGACTTGGAGCACATGATCATGTCACCTTATTATTTTAATATAGTCCTTTTGTAAGACCTGCTGGAATGACAGAGATGTTTCTACCCTCCTGAGAGATGGCATCTCAGTGGCCTATCCAAAGCAACACGGTATTTGAAGAGGAATGTGCAGCCCACACAGAAATGTGGTGGGAGAAGAGCAGTTGCTTGTAGCTCTTGAGGGGGGAGGGCAAGAAAGAGAAGGCAAAGTCGAGCAGTGAGCGCTAACTGCGCTTACAACCACAGATAACTGAGCAATTGAAGTGGCTTTACTTTGTATTTTGATTTTTTTTTTTCTAAAGTTGCAACCCAAATTCAGAAAGCCTCATTGCTTGCAAAAGTAGGTACAGTGATTTAAATTACTGAACACTTGAGCAAATTAGCTGCCTGGTCCAAATGGGAAATGCTTTCATCTGCAAAGGCCCGACTTTGCTCCGTACAGCTACCAGGGTCAGCTTTTTCTCACCTGCATTTCTAACAGCAGACCCTGAAACGTCCTTTCCAAAACGCACAGCCTCAGCCACGCCGTGCTTTGCTTTTGCCATCTTCACTGTCATTTCAATACAAAGAATAAAAAAGGAAATATCCCCAAACCTCTCTCATTTCTTGGCATAATCCAAAAGAGGCCACTCTGTACTTTTTCCATGGCTGCGTCTCACAAGTCACTTTATAGACAATAGCAGATTAATTATAACCACGCATTTAGCAAATCCCCATGACAAGACATCCTTATTGTGGTCAAGACAGCGTGCACCGAAATGATAGGGAGGAAATCTGCTCCTTTCCCACATGAAAGTCTCTTGGTGGGCTTGTTACAACTGAAAACCAGCACGGCTGCTCTCACTGAGCCATGTGGGGTTCGCCAAGGGCCTGAGCGTGACTTTGCAGGCTGTAATGTCATTTGTGGCAAGGGCTGGGGTGACTGAGATGGGAAGGAAGGAGAGGGGGGAGAGTCTGCTTGATTTGGGGTTCATCCAGCTGGCCAGTGTTTTGGATGCTTTGTTGAAGAGAGACCATGAGAATCAGAGCAGACAAAGAAATGAGTCGCTGGGAAAAATTAAAAGAGGTCATTCAATCAATGACATCTCTTAAGACACCTATCTGCAATAGCATTATTCTGATGTTCCTCTTTATCGAGAGATGGAATGAAAGACTGCATCCCTTTCCTGGGCTCGCTCCCTCCCACGTTCACAAAACCATTTCTGTTAGTTAAAAAATTAGTGGCTTATATTACAGGACAAATACCTTCAGAAATCAGAAAAAAAAATCTGCATAAAATGGTGAGATTTTCTTCAGAGCATGTCCCAAGGGCAGTGCCCACCTTAAGCTCAGAGTAAGGAGGGAAGCAACGCTCATGTGTTGCATTCACTGCTGTTATTTATCATTCGCTCTTCGCTGCCTGCATTTCCCTGGCTTGCTGAGAGCATCATCACCATCACCTACATCAGTTCTTCAGCCCGTGCCTGGGCTGGCAGGGAAGGCTACCTGCAGACCTTGTCCCACAGCCACATGGCCTTTCCTTTTGTCACATCCTTGGCTCCCAGGGAAAATAGTGCCAAATTTGTGAACACAGAGGAACACAGAACTGTATGTGAATGGTGATCGCTCAGCACCAGATAGGATCTCCCTGGCCATGCACACAGTCCCCAAACTGGTCTGTCCCATGCACTGAACTAGGCAGAAATCACTTGGGGGAAAAAAGTGATCGCATGATTAAAGATTGTACCAAAAGGTAGATCTGCAGAAGGAAACATTATTTTTTGGCATTTTCTAATTTCCTGTGTCTTTGAGTTTGAAACATTATTTAAACTTTAAATACAGGTTTTGGTATTCCATGTTTATGCTATCTACTTAAATGAAAAAATAAACACCCCCTGCATAAATGGAAGATAAATGTTGCAGCACCCAAATCCAGAAACAATAGATTGAAAGCATCTTTAATCCTAACCTTTTGAAAAATGTTATCTTTTTTTTTTTTGGCATATCTTTCTTAATGACCTATCCCTATTTTCGCTCACCCGTTAAGGCACCTTTTACTGGGAACTGCCAGCTTCAAAATGTTGCTGAAGAAGTATTCAAATTCAGCACTTAAAACTGAGAAAAAGAAAAAAAGCCTCCTATTTTTGGTTGCCAGATTCAGTAAGGAAAAAAAAAATTCACAAAAATGTGGCATTAATCTACTGCCACCATGCATTTCAAAGTGTTTGGGAAAGGCTAGGGCTGTACTGATCATTTAGGAATGGAATACTCTTACATAGTGCATTTCTATTTTCTAATGAAACCATTGGTATGCATATAAAATTTATGGTTTTATTGAATGTTACAGTTGACATGAAATGAGATGGGCTTGGAATTCTACGTTGTGAAATGTTTCTTTTGTGCTTTTGTTCCTTCTTTTTTTTTTAAGTTCCATTTGAGAGAAACAAAACTTTTATATCTGGAGTCTTCTTAAAAAGAGAAATTTCCATTCTCTCCCATCTCTATTCAGTCCCTGTCGGCCAGGAATTCAAAACTGTTTCCATTTATTGGTTGTTTTACTTGGAGCTTGGCAGGACCCAGTCCCAGGCCAAGACCACCAAAGGGAGAATCTTCCTTCCAGCGAGGTCAAGGCTGAGGTGCTTCACCAGGAGAGCACATGTGAGAAACTCAGTTTGCTGCTGCTTTTTTGGGGTTAAAAAAAAAAAAAAGAAGGATTATTGTTGTCTGTAAAGACTTTCATCAGTACTAAATTCAAAGGAAGTTTATTAGTTCATTGTATAATCTGTGTAAAGTGTCCAAAGAAGCTTAATTCCTCTCTTCCCTCCCTCGAGCAAACTGACAAACAAACTGGCAGCTTTCGTCTTTGATTTTGGAACAATGCTTTCCACTGAAGCTTTAAAAAGAAATCTAATCCTGCATAGTTTCCTCCTTTCTTAGCTGTTATAAAAGCTTATTTTAACACATACAGCCCATATGATGTGTCTTTTAAAAGGGAAATGGTCCTTTTGCATAGCATGAAGAAAAAGCTCCAGCAAACAACATGGTTTGTTTTTTTTTTTCTTTTTTACCTTTCCACATGGTCGACGTTGCCTGCCACACCGACCCCTCCAATGGTATAAATCTTCCCGTCGTACACCAGACTGTTATGTCGACACCTTGGGACTGTCATGCGGGACACGAGGTTCCAGTTATCGAGCAAGGACATGTAACACCAGACATCAGCGAGCGTGACACCCGACTCCATGCCGCCTGCCACCGATGTGCGGGTGAGGGAAAGAAAAGGGGAGAATTACGTGAGATACTGGAACGGCAGCAGCTCTGCACACAGCAATCAAAGCCATTACAAAGTAAAAACTCTTCAAACGACATTTGACTAATTAAAATAAATCACCCTCAATACTAAGCATCTGTTGCGATGATGCATATCTGTGTCATTTATTCATGCGCCCCAAAGGCTGGTTTTTTTTAATAAGATGACATGAAGAAATCAAGATGTCAGACTGCGAGGGACACGTACATAAGGGGATAGACCCTTTTCAGTGTTCATAAATAACTTCCAGTCTATTAAATTACTGCAACACTTGCAAGAAGGTGTCAGGAGGCAGAGCCTATCTTGGCTTGTGAGACACAGGCCAGTCTGAAATCTAAAATGCTTAATACAGTGATGGATTGAAGCAACACATACATGGGCAGAATGAAGTCAGTGCTTGCACTGTAGGCTTAATGTCTAATTTTCAGGGACAAATTTCGTATTTTTTTTCATTTGCTGATAAAGGAAAGAACCAGCTGAAGCACTCCCATAAAACAGTTCAAGATGCTCCAGTAAAATATTTATATTGGCCATTTTTTAACTTCTGGCCAAAGCTTCCAAGGTAGCCACTTATTGGGTATCTTACTAGCCCCGTTTTGAAGCATAAAGAGGTGAAATGATTTATTTGAGACCACACTAGGAGGCAGTGGTCAAGCCAGGAAAAGAAACTAGACTTAGTTCTGTGGTTCAATGAGAAAACCAGGCTTCCTCCTTGGTATTTCACTCTCCAAACCTACACTATGCAGCATGGAGTCCAGTACTTGGAGCTTGCAGGGATTCATTCCCACTTCTGTTGGTTCCCCTTCCCTCTTTCCTGTGCCTTCTAAATTTGAGCAAAGCAAAATATCCACCAATGCTCAGCCAGGTTTCCAGCCATGGAAATGGTTTCCAGCCATGCGGGGCAGCTCTCCTATTGTAGCCACCAAATACCTTTGCTCATCCAAATTCAAGGTAAAGAGCTGAAATAAGCTTTGAATTTAGGATTCAACGGCTTTTCGTAGCAGGTAGGGCACAGCCTAAAATGGCTCTACGTATTGGAAAGTACCTCAGCTAAGAATAGCTGAAAGTCAGCATCTCACAGCCTCCACAGAAGGCTTTCACTCCAGCAGCAAAACAAGCATGGGCAAAAAACCATCAAGAAATAATTTCTAATCAATCATTACGGCCTCTATGCAGTAGTAATGGAATTTAACACCACAGGCAGCAATTTACTGCAGAAAATGCAGTGAGGGAACTCAGCAAGAGAAAGGCAACAGCTGTAATCCCATACTGGTACTGCCTGGTGCATCCGCGCTCCCAACTACATCCTCGGATCGCACTCATCTGCACCTCCCTGCCCATGCTCCTCTTTTCATCATCAAAACTCCACTCAGCTGCCATCAGAGCATCCTTACATGGCCTGGTGGAAATTGCTTTTCCCCCTCCAGCCAAGCAGAGGTACCACCACACTGCAAAAAACCAGACACCGTGATGCTACGGGCGCAGTGTCGACAGCTCCTTTGGGAGTTAAAGCCTTTTAAGGAGCGTGGTCTCAGTTTCATCGAAAGTAAGAAGATTGTAGGGCTAGTGACTACTGTCAAAAGAGAGGTCTCAACAACAAGTACAAAACATGAATGTTCCTGTAAGCAAATACTGTAAGTGTAGGTCACAAATTCAGCAGTTCAGCCTGTCTGTCTCAAATTCCATAACCCACCATTTAGACTCAACTACAGCCAGTATTTTAAATTGTGTTTCTATGGCAGTGAAACCTCTCTGCATGTTTGATGGTTGTCAGACCTATTTTCTTCATGTTGCAACTGCAAAATATTGCTGTTGACTGCTCTGAGAGAACGTTAACGCTGCAGAGAAATGGAGAATGATAAAAGCAGGGAAATCCCTCTCTCCCAACCTCCTTCCCATTTGTCTTGTTTTTTTTTCCCCAGGAGCAGCTGGGTAAAACTCCTGCATGTCCTGCACTGTAAGAAGGAAACTTTTCTCCAGCCCAGTAAATCTGGGGGATGAATGGATTGAGAGCAGCTCTGTGGAGAAGGACTACGGGATACTGGTGGATGATAAATTGGACATGAGGTGGCAATGTGAGCTTGCAGCCCAAGAAAACCAACCGTACCCTGGGCTGCCTCAAAAGAATTGTGGCCAGCAGGTTGAGGGAGGTGCTTCTCTTCCTCTGCTCCACTCTGGTGAGACCCCACCTGGGGTCCTGCGTCCAGCTCTGGAGTCCTCAGTACAGGAAAGACATGGACCTGTTGCAGCAGGTCCAGAGGAGGCCACAAAAATGATCAGAGGACTGAAATATGTCTCCTGTGAGGACAAGCTGAGACAGTTGGGATGCTCAGCCTGGAGGAGACTGCAGGGAGAACTTCTTGTGGCCTGTCCATATCTTAAGGTGTCTTGTAAGAAAGATGGAGAAAGGTTTTTACCAGAGCCTGTAGTGACAGGACAAGGAGCAACAGTTTTAAACTGACAGAGGGTAGATTCAGATAGGATGTAATTTTTTATGATGAGGGTGGTGAGACAGTGGAACAGGTTGCCCAGAGAAGTTGTGGATGCCCCATCCCTGGAAGTGTTCAAGGTCAGGTTGAATGGGGCTTTGAGCAACCTGATCTCGTGGAAGATGTCCCTGTCTATGGCAGGGGGGCTGGACTAGATGATCTTTAAGGGTCCGTTCCAACCCAAATCATTCTGTGATTCTACATTTCTGTAAGATCTGATGCTTACCTGAAAGATAGATGTTGTCCCCAGCGCTGACCACACTGAAAAACTCGCGATCATAGAAGGGCAGGCTGGCCAATGGGTACCACTTGTTGTTTTGAGGATTTAAGCAAGTGACCGCTGTTAAAGCACGTTGATTCATGCCAATCATCTGACGACCCCCAACTAAGACTATTACCTCGGCTACACCTAGGATTCAAGTAAGAAAAAGAATATTATAAAAAAGTGACGTCTCTCAACCAGGCAAGAGCCTATCAAAAATACTCAGCAGTCAGGGTAATTTGAATGTATCACATATAAATCTGTTTTAGACTGTGCAGTCAAACCAGGAAGGGTGAGAAAAAAGGGAGTGTGTGTGGGGGGGGGAGAGCAGTGGGTGAGGAACGACGCTAGGAACATGCTTGGGAGAACCTGGGAGGGAGCATGCCATCTGGGCAGAACTTGAAGGGGAAAGGAATAAAAAGGCCTTTCCACATAAAGAGGTCCGTTGACTTCAATAGTCTTTTGAGTGAGACCTGCCTGTAGCAAATTCTCATCCCACTGAATAAAAGGGGAATTTTGTCAAGGACTGTGATAGCTTTGGAACTTGGCCATTATCCAGGGAAAGTATGTTGGGACTTTGACCCGAAGAAGGAGTTCTCACACTAAAAGCTAATGTTTGGAGGAGATTTAGGCTACCGTTATGGTTCTTCATCTTGATTTTATCAATCCATATACTCTATGAACAGATAACTTTCTGGTGGGTTTTTCTGTGCTTTTCCCAGAGAAAGCAGGTTTTCCAGATGTAAGTAACATGTGCTCAAGCCATGGATCAAGATCTTAGTGTACTAGGTGCTAGGAAACATGACGGAGATAGCCCTGCCCTAATATAGTTATTAACTGAGATTTAGCTGTGCTTGAACAGCTCCCCCAAGCCTGTAACACGCAGGATGTGCAGCAAGCCAAATTCTCTGTTCCTGCAAATGGACGAAACTTTTGCAATCCACATCTCACAGGTTTTTTTTTCCCACTTTACAGCCCGAGCTAAGTCAAATCTGATCTGAGTGTTACTCCAGACTCATCTCCGCAGTGATGGGTTACAGTTTAACTCTGGGACATTTTCTGGCTCCAACCCCAAGAGTCAAGTGCTGGGGATAATTTGGATTTAGCGTTTAGCAGAAGGGTTAGAAATCTTTCTGCAGCAATTGTCAGCCCCAGTGCAACTGGTTGCCAGGAGAGGTAGGCTCAGAAGCAGGACCACAAGGCCATGAGCTGGAAGGAATTGCTATTTTGGGAGCTGTGCTCACATCCGGACCCGTTGCTGTGATGTGTTACGGTGCCCAGCCTAGAGACAAGTGTGCACGGGGTTGGGGGGCGTCAGAAGCACAGAAGTGAGATTGCCAGCAAGAGAGATTAGGAGCTGCAGAGGAGAGAAATGTGTCTTCAGAGTAATGGATTATCGTTACTCTTCATTAGCTTTTTCAAAAAATATATTTGTGTCATTCAAGCAAGGTTACTCTCTTAAAAGTTATTAAGTTAAAGTGCTGTACAGTTTTAAATAAATATTTCTCGGTAACAAGAGATCATTATTTTTGCGCCACACCAGAAAATCTAATCACCTGTGCAAGACATAACTTGATTATAATCAATGACCTCGAGAGGGCATGTGACATGCTGCAGCGAGTCCACAAAGGGTGTTTAGAGATCCTTTGTGCCTACATGAATGCCGTTGATATGCAAAATAACATGATTCTATATAATTAGACTCTGACCTAAAAAACTATAATCACCCTCTTTTACCCCGAGAGAATCACTTTTCCCTCATCAACAAGCTTCTGGAAATGGTTCATATTACACCTACAATTTTATATACATAAAATAAGCACTTTTCAAAAATCCCTTCAAACATCACACCATTAGTCGTCTTCAATGAAAGACTTTTTAGGGCAGATTGTTATTGAAAGTCCTCTACACTTCATCCTTCTGAAAGGTGCCTTGATGAGGCAGCCTCCAGAAGCTGGGGATGCCGTGGTTTGATATGCCATCTCCGTGCCACATTAGCATCAGCGGCACCGACAGAAAGTTTTGCCTGGCTTTGTGACTGTACCTAGGGCAGGCAGAAGTACAGGCAGCGCATTAAAACAATTCACCTGTGTCATCTGCCTCCTCCTTGGATGCCGTGTTCCTCCATGATATTCGTACCACTCTCTGTTCGACAAATACTTTGGATATTTCTCATGCTACCACGATATGGGCTTTGCTGGTGAGTTGGGCACTTGGGGTTTTTTTTCATGTATTTTTTCCAAAAAGAAAAATGCATGCGTTCCTCAGGTGAGAAAGTTCTTGAAGCAGCATGGTTCTCCGTAGCTGCTGGGGTTTTAAAAGGGAATATGTCACGTGTGATCTATTCGTTCTGGAGGCCACCAACAGACTGAACTGGTACTGTAAGACTCACCGTATGAAAATAACAGATTTACACAGGGCTGTGAAAGTGAAGCTGGTTTATGAATATTAATCAGCTGCTCCCTGCAAGAGGCTGGATGGCCAAAAGCAAATGTTTTTATTCACCTATTTTTGCAGCTAGAGAAACTGAGGCACAGAGGGCAAGGGGCTCCCTTTCAGGACAACGGGGGAATGTCACGGTCTCTGCCAAAACTAGGAATTCTTAAAAATTAGGCTCCTTAAAATCTAGTTTCAGGAGTGTACACCTCCACATCCATGTCTGACCATTGGGAGAGGCTCCTAAACACTTGA